TAATTTAAATTATAATTTTAAATAGAAATAAGTAGATTATTAATTATAAGAATAAGTATATATAAATAAAGATTAATTAAATATATTATTATTATTATTATTATTATTATTCATAATATAAAATATATTATATATTATTATTATAGTACAAGTATGAGATTGTATAGTTGAGGATGACTTAAATAAATTAATTTGTACAAGTTATACTGACAACATGCATATACATTTTGGTAGCTTATCTCATAAGAACTTCACAGTTAAGCGTGTTTGACTTAGAGTAATGTTGGGAATAGTGACCTTCTGGAAATTCTCCCAGAAATTGTGCAAGCAGGATAAATACGATAAAAAGTGAAATATCGTAAAATAGACCGCTCTTGAGAGGCCAACATCCCTATCAACATGTAGCGTTAATAAGAGGCACAAATTTGTGACGGAGTTAATCTATCACAAATTTGTGATGGAATTACAAATCCATCACAAATTTGTGACGAAATTTGTAATTCCGTCACAAATTTGTAATTCCGTCACAAATTTGTAATTCCGTCACAAATTTGTGACGGAGTCACAAATTCCGTCATAAATTTGTGACGGAAAAAAGTCCCTCACTAAATTCGTCACAATTTGTGACGGAAATTTATTAATTATGAACATTTAATATTATAAATTAGTGACGGAATTTGTGATGCCTTAATTCCGTCACTGATTGTGACAGATTGAAATTATCCGTCACTAAATATTTTGTGATGCCAATTTTTGTGGCGAAATCAGTTTCGTCACAAATTCCGTCACTAATTTATTTTGTAACGGATTTTGTTCCCTCTCTAATTTTAATTTTTCTAGTAGTGGTGGTCCTAAAAGTATCAGTTAGGTAAATAAGTTGCAAGCATCATTTAAAAGATCATTCATAGCATCCATGATATTGACTATAATTAATAATTAAAAAACATGGTTGTTTGTAATTAATTCAGGTTTTCTGTTTGTATTTGTATGTCAAAGTGGTTACTTTCATGAATCTATTTGGGTTCAGATCATGTATTGACTGATGATTAAGAGATGAAATTCGTTGTTCTTCATTTTAGCAGGATAATTGAAAGGTCTATCCTTACTTTTCAGCTTTTTCCTGAAAAGAGATAAGAAAAAATCAAGTGGTGCAACCAACCTATTTGGAAATTAGAACCAGCTTGGAACTCCTTTACAACTAATTCATTCCACTTTTGAAAAGGTAAATTTAGAACCTTTACCTTGCAATTTTATAATGTACTAATCAATTATAAATGCTAGAATGTTGCTGGTGACTTGGGCATATGATTGATTTTTGGCAAATGAGGCAGCAAGGTTATTTTGCCTATTTCACAAATGTTAAATTAGTAGCATTGTCTTAAATAACACTCTGAATGATTACTGTTCCTTCATGATAAATGTTAAATTCTTTTGTGGAATTCTACCAAATAATATCCCAAAGGCTTTGTTAAAAGTATATAGCAGAAAAGAAAAATGCAATCCTATTCTTTTGTTATTGAATTGTAGGTAATTATGTAGTTAATTTTGAATTAACAGAACTATACACAGAGCATATAATTTTGATTTGAACAATGATAGGTCCTGTCATACGAATTGAATCACTTGGAATCTTGGATTGATGTTTAGTTAATTGATTTGATTTCTTGTGTGCTGTAGAGATAAAACCAAAAGCAATTTGATTGTTTTCTAGACAACAAAAGTGGGAATATCCCACCCCTAAGCTTTCACCCGCTATATATATCTCTAGCTCTTGGTGGATCAACGTTGTAGTACAAGTGTGTGTGACCCAAAGAAAAAATTGTATTTAGTATAGTGTGATTCATTGAAGTGTTAGGGATGGCTAGTGGTAGCAGAAATCCTCTTGTTGTTGGGCGTGTTATTGGAGAAGTAATAGACCCCTTTGAAAGTTCTATTCCTTTTAGGGTCACCTATGGCAATAGAGAAGTGAGCAATGGTTGTGAGTTTAAACCTTCACAAGTTGTCAAGCAACCCAGAGTGAGTGTTGGCGGAGATGACTTCAGGAACTTCCACACTATGGTAATTAATTACATTAGCTAGTTGTCATAGTATATTTATATATAGAACCAAATTTAGATAAAATATTATAAATATTGTTGGCATTGTTCTCCAATCAAAATTAAAATTTCAATGTGATACTATATTTAAGTTTTATTTATACACAAAGATTTCTAGATTCTATTTAATTTTGTTTCTTCTATTAAAGGTCTTAGTGGATCCTGATGCTCCTAGTCCAAGTAATCCCAATTGCAGGGAGTACCTTCATTGGTGAGTAAATTAGAACTATATACCATTAAGTGGTTAAACCAAATTTATAAGATATTTTAATAACATATGACTAACACTATTTTTTCAATGATTTTATATAGGTTGGTGACTGATATTCCAGCGACCACAGGGGCTAGTTTCGGTGTGTTAATATTTAATTTTACCCATTCACTTAAAATACATTTCCTTTTAATTATAAGTAAATTTAAAAATAAAAATAAAAATTCAACAATTCAATCTCAAGAACTCATCAAATGTACAGTGTAATGTAACATAATACTAATACATTTATATACCATCAGTGGAAGATCCAGAATCAGTAAAGGTATTAAATGCAGTGAGTTCAAAATATATAAAATATAAGATAAAATAAAAATTTAAAATACTTATCTGTAATGAGAAGAAAAAAAATTAAGACTGAGTTCAAATATAATATTTAAGAGATAAAATATAGACAATTTAAATGTTTATAAGTAATCGTTTTCAAATTGTGAGGTGCACATACACACCCTAATCATTATGTAGGTCCACTAGCATCATGGTTATATAGTACATTATTTATTTTAACATAAAATTTAACATTTTTAAGAGCCATAAAATAACATAAAATTTAACATTTTTAAGATTTATATATTAGTTTCATTTACAAAATCATGTAAATCGTTTGTCATCCAAGATATGGAGTATAAAAGTATTAGAATCATTTATGTGGACCATGTTTCTTGATACTTAAAATATAAATATAATCAATTTTATGCACCAAGTTAAAAATGATTCCATGAGGCATCAAATTCTAAATCACAACATACCCCAAAAGTATACAAATCTAATTCCAATTTTAAAAGAATCTAAGATCAAAATCCCCAATAGTGAAAGTGTAATATCAATTTCAAAGAATCGCTACACGACTGCTTATTAATAAGAAGAATCGAATGTGTGAGTAGTTTATGATTATAAGTTTGCATGATTTGTACGCAGGTAACGAGGTTGTAAGTTATGAAAGTCCACGACCCACGATGGGGATTCATCGTTTCGTATTTGTGTTGTTTCGTCAACAATATCGACAGAGGGTGTATGCTCCTGGATGGAGACAAAATTTCAATACTAGAGAATTTGCTGAACTTTACAATCTCGGATTACCAGTTGCTGCTGTCTTCTTCAACTGTCAGAGGGAAGCTGGCTCCGGTGGTAGGACATTTTGAAAACTTTATTGTATACCGAAAGTGCATCTAGCACCTTAATAGAAAAGTAATACACATATAATAACACACATCTCTAGGTCACATATGAATATGTACCCAAATTACTATATGTATCACTTTATGCTTATGTATACTTATACTTTTTTTTTTGGTGAATTATATGTACTTATATTAATACAAATAAAGTATTAAATATTTGAGTAGTACATATCAAATTCCTAAGCCTCCAACAGTGGAGCTTTGGAAGTTTGGCTAAGTGTCGAAGATTGGAAGTGTGACTTTCATATAGATTTGTTTAGACACTTCACAAAAATTCTTGAACAGTAAAACTAGCTTCCACCCTTTGGTAAGCTTTAAATAAAGAGAGAGGATAAAATGTCTTTCGTTTGTGAAAATAACACTGCAGCAAGAAAGATAAAAACGAAATTGTTAAGAATTATTCGCCAAATTTAATGAAGCACAAGAAACCTAAATTTAAAGTATGGGCCACCATTTGAGTAAATGCTTAAAAGTTGAGCAGATAATCAGTCATTCACACAAAAAGAATATGCTGTGGGTAATTAAGTTTATATATGAGACTCTTAATAAAAGTTTAAAATTTAAAAGTTAAACAAGTTAAATGTTTATTAACAGAATTTATTAAAATTGAAAAATAGTTTAAATAATCTCTTTAAAATACATGCAGAGATAACCTAGTTAAATTGAGAATGAAGAAAGAATAAAAAGATGATGTCGGTTGTAATTAGGTTTATCACATGGCATGGGGTAAAAGATTAGCTTGAATTTTAATAGAGATTTGATATAAATTTTGGTATATATATAT